GACCATAGTGTTGCTCAAGAAACTTCCCCCATTTCCAACTCCAGTTCTAAACCCACACAAGCCAGGCCAAACCGAACCTCAATTTCCACTTAAGCTAAACTTGAGGATGAACCGTCAACCCCAAAACCTCACCTCAACCTGACCACACCGCGACCACCGCTGGCAGCCCGTCCCATCGCTGAGATGTTTGAACCATTGGTTGAGATATTGTTTTACTTTAGGCTCTGCTCTGTCTATTTTGGCACCATAGAAATCAACACAGGCCTCCATGTTAGGCCAATGAATAACTGGCAAACTATTTCAGTTTAAAAAGTTTTCTCGAAAAATGTAGTCTATTTTGACAGAAAAGTTTAAATAATTTGACGTGGAATGTTTCTTGAAGTCGGAGTGCAAGTCTGATTTTCCATCCAGATGAACCAGTGTTTAGCTGTGAGTCAGGTGCTGCCAAGACTTTAAAAGGCTCCTTTTCAACTTCTTGGGGGACAGTAACTTTATGCAGCGCAACACTGACCTCTCATGGAAAACAAGGAGATGTGCAGTCAAGGAGGGAAAATCTGAAATGTTGCAAAGTGCATGTTTCTAGTGTTTTGAGATTATGTTAGAGTGTTTATATAGTTATTTATCTCCAGAAAGCCATGAGAGGATATGCAACAAAGTAAGAGATTTATTTTCTGTACAACGTTCCTTAAGGATACATTTAAATTCCAATATTGTGGAGCCTCAGTTCATGGACAAGATCCCACATTCCATCAGGGGTCAGCTTGAACTCCAACTATTCATTAAAGGGAGTGTGTACCAATTCAAATGTTATGGAAAAGCTCTCTATACAAAATTGAGTTAATCTTCTTAATATGATAATAGATAGATACTGGCTGTATTCAAAAAGGTTTATCCAACAACTAACATGTCCATCATAATTTCGCCTCTAAACTATACTTAAAGTATCAAAAGTAAAACTGCTCATTATGCAGATTGGTCCATTTCAGAATAATATATATTATATGTTTTGATATTGTGCAACACATTTTAATTACTTTCTATAAAGCAGGGTAGCTTACTCCAAATGTAACTAAAGTCTTATTTGATTATATTTCACATCATTGATCCAAATCTGTAAAGTAACTAAAGGTATTAAATAAATGCAGTGGAGTAAAAGTACATGTTTTACCTCTGAATTGTAGTGGAGTAGAAGTACAAAGTAACATAAAATGGAAATACTCAAGTAAAGTACAAGTATCTCAAAATTGTACAGTACAGTATTGAGTAAATATACTTACTTCCCACCTCTGCCCTTGAACAACAAAAGACTAGAATGAACAATTATCTTACCAATATATCATTTCTTTTAACATCACTATTCTTATTTTTCATCGGATTTCTCCTTAATTTCTCCTTTTTTAACAAATGTTGTTGGGGCTTTCAGTTTGGTCAACAAATCACACATTCACCCTTTTAACATGTATTATTAATCGTAATATACGGTGGATGAGAAGTTTAACGAAGCTTGAGACAAATTTACATTTTATAAGACAAAATTACATTTTATAAAAACAAAATTACATTTTATAAAACAAGTGTACAAGTCCAGAAACACTTTAACATTTGCCGAAACACTTTAACAAACTAGAGAATCAAACCGGAAAGGTAATGTCCATCATACCAGAAGTGACGTGCAAGTGATTGGCACAAACTTAAATTTGTTTTGTCTGATAGACCGCCGGTACCTATGGGTGGTACGAGTGTGTTTATGGTCGTTAAACATGTTTTGTCCGTTCTGTGGAAACCACCTGGGCCAAGTGACACGGTTTTGTTCATCACGATATCATTTCTTGTGCGCACGAGAAAGTTACCGGTTCGCCAAGTAGGAAGTGGAGCTGTGCCTTTTACTCACCGCCTTCGCTGTGTTTACCTTCATTAGAACAGCCAAAGAGCGACTGCACGCTGCTTTGTTTTAACCACACACACCTCTCCACACACACACACACACACACACACACACACACACACACACACACACACACACACACACACACACACACACACACACACACACGACGCACACGACGCACTATACTTACTTACTTACTTATTATAACTGCCTGATTATTACGCCTTATTATTAGTTTTATGAAGGAGATGTCCGTCCTCCAGGGCGTGTGTGTGACACTGGAATCTGTTTTCAGAAGATATTATGATAGTGTCATCCGTTCCGGTGCACTCCGACAGCACTGAGCACTACATCGAGATTAAGATTAAACACATTTATTTCATTTGGGAACACACACATATACCTATGGAGTTGGCCAGATGTGTGCAAATTACTGTTCATGGTAATTTGTAAAAAAATGCCGGTGTCGGACACACCGAACACAGACAAACACACATACACACACACACACAGACACATCATGCACCGGACATCTCCTTCATAAAAAGAGTAATATGGGGAATAATCGGGCAGTTCGATGTGTGTAGAGGTGTGTGTGGTTAAAACGAAGCAGCCACAGAACACCTCCCTAGGGAGGCGCCCAGGTGGCATCCTTACTAGGTGCCCGAACCACCTCAACTGGCTCCTTTTGACGCGAAGGAGTCCCTCCCGGATGAGTGAACTTCTCACCTTATCCCTAAGGGAGACACCAGCCACCCTGCGGAGAAAACCCATCTCGGCCGCTTGTATCCGCGATCTCGTTCTTTCGGGTCCAAGTAAATTCCCGGCCTCAGGCCGTAATCTTTCGTGAAATCCCCGCTCTTGTCACCGGCCGCAGCGTGAAGCAAATTGGTTTGACTTACCCGAGGTTTTACCTGGTTCACACTAATTTCGCAAACGCCCTGGCGGTCGCTCGACGGTCTTCGGCACACGTAACACGCCGCCCCGGGGGCCAAGTAACTACCATCGCGGTAGTAAATTCGGGCCTCCGGCCGGAATCTTTCGTGAAAAATCCCCGCTTTGTCACCGCGCAGGTGACAGCAATTGTTTGGACTAACCCGTTTTACCTGCCGTTTCACACTATATTTCGCAAACGCCCCTGGGGTCGCTCGAACGGTCTTGCGCACACCGTAAGCACAATTGCCCTCGCCGGAACACTGTACTATTGCTCCGGTAGTAGAATTTGCGTTTTCGGCCGTAAGTCTTTCGTCGAAAATCCCCGCTGTGTCACCGGCGCGATGTGAAGCAATTGTTGACTACCCCGTTTTACCTGCGTTTCACACTAATTTCGCAAAACGCCCTGCGGGGTCGCTCGAGCGTCTCGGCACACGTAAACAACCCCGGGGCAACGTACTACCATCGGGGTACGTAAATTCGGGGCCTCCGGCCGTAACTCTTTCTCGTGAAATCCCGCTTTGTCCCGGCGCAGGGGGAAAGCAATTGTTTCGACTACCCGTTTTTACCTTCGGTTTCACACTAATTTCCGCAAGCGCCCTTCGCGGGCAGCTCGAGGTCTGGCACACCGTAAACACAGCGGCCAAAGTACAGCTACCATGGGAGTAAATCGCGGCTCGGCCCGTAATCTTTCCCCGTCGAAAAATCCCCGCTTTTGTCACCGGCGCAGGTGGGGAAGCAATTGTTGACTACCCTTGTTTTACCTGCTTTCACACTAAATTTCGGCAAACGCCTCTCGGGTCGGCTGCGAGCGTCTGGCGCACACCGTAACAACGAGCAAACCAGGGCCAAGTACTACCATGGTAGGGTAAATTGCCGTGGGCTCCGGCCGTAATCTCCCGCAGCGAAAATGGGCGTGGCAACACTTGTGTTTTCCCTCGACTCGGTCTTCCGTTTCGAGAGACAGATGCCCGGTAAAAAAGCAAAGGATGGGAGTGGGTACCAGTACTTCCT